ACTGTATTGTGAGAGTTAGCTTACGTCCAGGTGATAGATACAATGGTTGAGTGTCGAAATCATACTTGCCTAGACACTAGTGATGTTGGTCCGAGTTATAGACTGCTTTAAAAGAAATGAAGTCCCAAAGTTCCCGAAAGAGAACTTGTGCAAAAAATTGGTAGAGATAAGCGCTAATTTGTGCTTGAGTTATGGCTTGAGAAGGTCGACGTGGTATGTAAGGTACTACTCTCCACGTGATGAAGATTCAAGTGGGTGTGTGGTGCAAATCAGGATGTGTTAGACTGACGGGTATTATTTGGGTCGAGGAATAGACGGCGGGTGGTGGTAGAAAGAGAGAGGGGAAGATCAGATGGCCGCAAGGAGTCGGTTGGAGGAGAGTGGGTGGAATTGAAGGAAAAAAACTAATGTGTGTAGAGATGTTTCTGGAAAGGACGTGATGTAAGGTGACACTGCTCAACGAGAAAATTCAACGGATGCGAAAGCAGTCGTTCTTTACGACTATAAGGTTCAAAAATTATTAGCGCATTAGAAAACATGGAAGCCCAAATGCCCGGGAGAATGTGGGCAAAAAGAAGTTGGAAGAAACACTATTTCGTAGTAGGTCGTTTCGGCAGAAGGTCAGCGTATGTAGAGTACAATGGTGCAAAGTAGAAGATGTCTTTACGAAGCTGATTTGGTTTCGAAATTAGACGCTTGAAAACAAATTAAGCCCAGATCCCGAAATTGTGGGGGAAAAATTGGAAAAAAACCTTAATTTCGTGGAGTGATCTTTCTGAAATCACGTATGTAAGTACAACTCGCCGGACGAGAAATTCGAAGTTTTGCAAACCCAGGACGTCAATCCGACTGAGTTAGTTTTGAATTATGTACGCTTGAAAAAAGAACGGAATGCGCCAGATCCCGAAATTTGGGCAAAAAATTGAAAAAACCTAATGTGTTAGAAGTGATTTTCTGAAATCAGCGGTATTGTAGTGAACTCTCGGGACGGAAGAAAGTTGCAATTGGGCACAGCAGACATCTGTTACTATTACGTTTCGAAATGTATTACGCTGGTTAAAAAAATGAAGCCCAAATCGCGGAATTTGGGCAACAATTGTGAGAAAAACTGTAATTGTGTATATGCTTTCTGAAAGTCACGTATGTAAGGTACATCTCTCGCGAGAAATTGAAGTTGTGTAAAGGCAGATGTCTTTACGACTATTAGGTTGTCGAGAATTAGAGCGAGAGAAACAAAGGGAAGCCCGAAAACCCGAAGAGTTGGGGCAAGAAATTTGGAAGAAAATAATTGTCTCGAGTATCTTTCTAAAATGCACTCATGTAAGTGTACAAACTCGTCGGGCGGAGAAAATTCAGATGGTGTGTGC